CTCCCCAACATGTTTTCTAAGATTATTATATAATACATAATATGTAAATGATTATATATAAAATATGTATGAAACATTATTTATATTAATAATTGTCCTAAAGTAATTCTTATGAAAAGTTGAACTTTGCATTAATGTTGTCAAATTTATCATTGAGTCCTAAGACTAAACATTCACCATTGGTTCCCTTTTTAGCTGTATAGGAAAAACAAAGTGTACAGTTGATGCGGCTGATAATTAACTTTGAAAGAAATACTGAGAAAATGAAAGACATAATCTTGTTGTCATGTAGTGTTTAATTTGAATTATCCACAGAAGGGCTCCAATTCGGAGTGTCACCTTTCTTACATATAAAAATAAGTTAAAGGTCAGAGGTTAAAGACTGTACCATTTACATAAGATACACAATGGCAAAACAGGAATTCAAATTCATAGGCTGACAGAAATGCTGGGGCTAGCCCATGGTAGAACAATAATCTTTTTTGTTTGGCTCCAATTTCAACAGTTAAAGGGTAAACCATTAAACTGTTCATTAGCATTTGTGAGCAACACCCCAATGAACTTCTAGAAATGCTATTAAAACAGTAAGTGTGGTTGGGAAGGAGGAGAATGACTGACAGTGCTAATTATACTTGAATTAACACTAGAAAAATGAACACCACTTGATCAAAGTTAGAGAATGACTGACAGTGCTAATTATACTTGAATTAACACTAGAAAAATGAACACCACTTGATCAAAGTTATTCAATAACAATAATAAAACTTCCAAGATAAATTTTGCATGGTACACTGACAGGGAGAAACAAACAAACCAAAAGGGAGTTTTGGACCTTTGAGAATATAGATGAGAGCCACTTCCATTTAATGGACATTTTTGTATGTATTAAATAGTATAGACATGCTGAAATGAGGTTATGAAATTGTGGTGTACATTTAACAAAACATGCACAGTACAATAGAGTACATTTTGTTATTCACAAGATAAAGTGTATATTAAAAAATAAAATCATAGAACACTGAGTGTCCAGATATGGAAGGTAAGTTGAAGAATGAACAGTGTTTTCTTTCTTCAGTTATGTCGATACATTTCTAACAATGTATAACTTCATCTGGAGATTATAGCCAACATGTAAATTTGAAGTTCTTCTCTAGTATGAAGCTCTATTAGTGTCTTATTGTTGTAACAAACTGCCAAAAAAGTTGGAGGTTGAAACAGTATGTTTATTATCTTAGTGTTTTCGGTGTCAGATGTCTCCAAATGGGTTGGTGGGGCAATATTCTTCTGAAATCTCTAGAAGAAAAATCTGGTTCCTTGCCTTATTCAGCTTCTAGAAGTTTCCCAAATTCCTTGGCTCATAGCCCTGTATCACTCTGACTCCTGTTTCCATCCTCACATTTCTTTCTCTAAATCTGACCTCCCTCTTGTAAGGAATCTTGTGATTGCATTGACCCACCTGGATAATCCAGGATACTCTCCCCCTATTATAGCATTAAGCTAATCAAAACTGCAATGTCCTTTTATAATGTCAGGTAACATATACACAGGTTTCAGTGATTAGGACATGGACCTCTTTGGGAGGTCATTTTATATCCCATAGAAGCTTAGACCAGAAACATTCCACGAACTTCTCCACTCTGCGTGCTCTGCACTGTAATACAGTTGGGGGTTATTTTTTCTAAACCTTTCAACTGCTGTTTTAGAGTGGTTATTACCAGTGGGTCACAGAGGATCTCACTTTCTAGGGAATGTGCTTTCAAATGATTGTTGAGAATAAGGTATTCTCATAATGTGGCTGCTATAACTTGGTGTCAAGTAACAGGGAGACTACATATTTTACCTAAAGTATGTATAATAAAGAGCTAATTATTTGTATCTATAAAAAAAGAGACAGGAAAAAAATGTTTCTTCTCATATTGTGATAAACAGTCTTTTTTTCAATACAACTATTAAACATTGTTGACATACAGTATATAAGATCTAAAGATTCATAGTGAATGGAGGAAAATTCATATATTTGCTCTAAGAACAAAACTAAACAGAAGACTGGTTAAAATTTGTCAAGGTTTGATTATATATAATAATTACATAGTTAATATAAGACTTCTTTACTATGCTTTTTTGCTCAAGATAAGAAAATGAAGAATAGTTTCAAATCTACTGTTAGATTAAAAAAAGTTTTAAATATCAATATTAAATGAAACAATTATTTGATTTGCCCTTCTGCCTCTGCAGATAGACTCATCAATTCATTTATCCATCCAGTTATTAACAGATATTAACTAAGTGCATAGGTTAGGCCAGGCACAGGTGTGGTAGTGGTAGGGGTACACAGAGTCAAATGTGTTATGATTCCTGCTATTCAACTGAGTCAGTGACCCGACAAACTCCAACTGGAATGGAGCTAAACATTAATTAAAATAAAAGTAACAAAAGTGAAACTGAGTGCTCTCAATAGTAAGATTAAATAAAAAGAAGACAGGAGTAGAAAATCTATATTTTAATTTTGTATGTTTTAATCTAAATTGGTATAAGTAGATAAAAATATTGAATTGGAATATTATAACCTGGTAATATTTTCACTGCTTAAAAGATTCCTTGTTCACGAAACTTATTTTAACTACTGATGGGTGAAGATAGAGGAATGTGAATTGGCAAATATTATATATACTTAAATTATCAATAACTTACTTAATCAGTAGTTCATTCAATAAATATTTGTTAAGCCCCTGTTGCATTGCAGGAGTTGAGCACACAAGCCAGACTGAAGCAGTAAGGCCCCCACTCTCATGCAGTTTGCATTCCAGAGAGCTAATACAATATACTCAGACACTCCAAATCTTTCACTATATTTTCATGGTGAACATCGACAGTATGGACAGTATAAAAAAAGGGCAAGATAGCCTCAGGCCTAGAATTCTTCAACTCTGCTATACTTCTGTGCAAGGGATTTATGGCCCCTCTGCCATTAGGTATGCAATCTTATACAGGTTACTTTAAACGTTATAACCTGTTTCTTCTCCTTTAACAAGGAAACAGTAATAGTTGGGGGGGGGGGCTCTCCTGGAGATTAAATGAGATAATGTATGTCATTGAGTGATATTGGTATTATTGCTGTGTCTTTGTGGTTCCAATATGTGCCTGCTCATTAGAATCACCTGGGGATCTTTAAGAACTTTCCAAAGCCCAGGCCACACACCGGACCAGTTACATCTCATCTCCAAGTGTGGGACATAGGCATCAGCACTTTTTGAGCTCCCTAGGTGGTTCCAATTTGCAAACAAATTTGGGAATCGTGGCAATTTGGTTTATTGATGTGTAATAATAACATTTACCCGTCCACCTGTCTTTACCCAAGGTCGAACTATGGAGCCTTCTGAGCGTAACGGAAGTCTGATAATTGAGGTGCACGTTTCTCTGTCTCATCCTTTGACGTGAATGCTAATCTCTTTAAGGGGAGCGGGCTGGGAGGGAGTCCTCATCTCTTGCTGCCTACGCAAAGCTGCCAAGTTTAATGGGCCCCTAAGGTATATACGGTGGACCGAGACTCCCACCTGCGGCGGTTGCTGGGCCTGCCAGAAGTGTAGAACCGGGAGACTCAGCCCTCCCGGGGGCGCTGGCCTCGGTGCGGAGGCCGCAGGCGGCGTCGCCATTCGGCGGATCCGCAGACGGACCGACCTCCGCGGACCCGTAACAACCCGGCCGGCGCATTTGCGGCTGCGCCCTTGCCCTCGTGCGCCTTCATCCGGTGGCCCCCGCCGAGGGCCCGCGCACGCACCGCCGCTTTGGCCTACGCCGAGCGGGACCCGCCGCGCCGCGCGTCACCATGGAGCCCAGGCCGCCCGGCGGCCCCGCACCCGCGGAGCCGGGGCCTCGCGTGCTCGGCTTGTGCGGCGCAGACCCAACGGCCTCGGCTTCCTCTTCGAGCGGGGTCGGGGCGGAGGCCGAGGCCGGGCGCCGCGCTCCGGCTGTGGCGGCCGTGCTGCCGGCGGGAGGGTGCGGGGAGAGGATGGGCGTCCCCACCCCGAAGCAGTTCTGCCCCATCCTGGAGAGGCCCCTCATCAGCCACACCCTGCAGGCCCTGGAGAGGTAATGCGGCGCCGGACGCGCCCCGTCCCCGGCCCGGCCTCCCGCTCCGTGCCCTGTCGGCACAGGCCAGCCCGCGCGACACCTGCCCCGCTGCCGCTCTCGGCTGGCGCCGTTTCTCGGCGTCCGTTGAGCCGGACCCCGGCGCCTCCATTCTCGGCAGCATTTCCGAGATGGGCAGCGCTGGCCCTGTAACAGCTGCGCACGGACGCTGCGGCTGCCCACAGCTTGTTAACGTCCCCGAATCGGCCGGGCGCGGGGAAACCAGCGTGTGGAGCTGGGATAGGGAACGAGGGCAAGGTCCGCGTCCCGGGGATACTCAGTTACCGCTTGGGCCCCAGTGTGTCCTGTTCTCTCTTTTAGAAGGAATTGAAGTATAAATCAAGATTATTTCTTGAAGACAACTGACTTTTCTCATTTTACTAACAAAGAACTGAGACCAAGGGTATTAAATAATTATTTATGACCTGAGTTAGGGGGGGGGGGCTCTCCTGGAGATTAAATGAGATAATGTATGTCATTGAGTGATATTGGTATTATTGCTGTGTCTTTGTGGTTCCAATATGTGCCTGCTCATTAGAATCACCTGGGGATCTTTAAGAACTTTCCAAAGCCCAGGCCACACACCGGACCAGTTACATCTCATCTCCAAGTGTGGGACATAGGCATCAGCACTTTTTGAGCTCCCTAGGTGGTTCCAATTTGCAAACAAATTTGGGAATCGTGGCAATTTGGTTTATTGATGTGTAATAATAACATTTACCCGTCCACCTGTCTTTACCCAAGGTCGAACTATGGAGCCTTCTGAGCGTAACGGAAGTCTGATAATTGAGGTGCACGTTTCTCTGTCTCATCCTTTGACGTGAATGCTAATCTCTTTAAGGGGAGCGGGCTGGGAGGGAGTCCTCATCTCTTGCTGCCTACGCAAAGCTGCCAAGTTTAATGGGCCCCTAAGGTATATACGGTGGACCGAGACTCCCACCTGCGGCGGTTGCTGGGCCTGCCAGAAGTGTAGAACCGGGAGACTCAGCCCTCCCGGGGGCGCTGGCCTCGGTGCGGAGGCCGCAGGCGGCGTCGCCATTCGGCGGATCCGCAGACGGACCGACCTCCGCGGACCCGTAACAACCCGGCCGGCGCATTTGCGGCTGCGCCCTTGCCCTCGTGCGCCTTCATCCGGTGGCCCCCGCCGAGGGCCCGCGCACGCACCGCCGCTTTGGCCTACGCCGAGCGGGACCCGCCGCGCCGCGCGTCACCATGGAGCCCAGGCCGCCCGGCGGCCCCGCACCCGCGGAGCCGGGGCCTCGCGTGCTCGGCTTGTGCGGCGCAGACCCAACGGCCTCGGCTTCCTCTTCGAGCGGGGTCGGGGCGGAGGCCGAGGCCGGGCGCCGCGCTCCGGCTGTGGCGGCCGTGCTGCCGGCGGGAGGGTGCGGGGAGAGGATGGGCGTCCCCACCCCGAAGCAGTTCTGCCCCATCCTGGAGAGGCCCCTCATCAGCCACACCCTGCAGGCCCTGGAGAGGTAATGCGGCGCCGGACGCGCCCCGTCCCCGGCCCGGCCTCCCGCTCCGTGCCCTGTCGGCACAGGCCAGCCCGCGCGACACCTGCCCCGCTGCCGCTCTCGGCTGGCGCCGTTTCTCGGCGTCCGTTGAGCCGGACCCCGGCGCCTCCATTCTCGGCAGCATTTCCGAGATGGGCAGCGCTGGCCCTGTAACAGCTGCGCACGGACGCTGCGGCTGCCCACAGCTTGTTAACGTCCCCGAATCGGCCGGGCGCGGGGAAACCAGCGTGTGGAGCTGGGATAGGGAACGAGGGCAAGGTCCGCGTCCCGGGGATACTCAGTTACCGCTTGGGCCCCCGTGTGTCCTGTTCTCTCTTTTAGAAGGAATTGAAGTATAAATCAAGATTATTTCTTGAAGACAACTGACTTTTCTCATTTTACTAACAAAGAACTGAGACCAAGGGTATTAAATAATTATTTATGACCTGAGTTTCTAAAAGGAAACGCTCTAAGAAATGATGACAGTGGTATTATTGTCAGGGGCATAAAGCTCAGTTAGGCTAAAATCAATAAGTGTCTAAATTTACTGTTTAAAAAATGTTTTCCCAAGTCTGAGGTAGGACGTAGAAGTCTCTGCCAGAAATCTAATTTATGGTTTCAAATGTCTAAGGAAAGAAAGTGTCATTCAGGGTGGTTACCTTAGCTAAATATACCAAAAATGACAACGACAACAAAAGCCAGTTGGGCGAACTTCGGTTTGGTCATGTGACTCAGGTGCAGGGTGGCAGTGGTAAATTGGGTGTGGGTGGGAATTCCTCTGACAGTGGATTTGAATAAGGTCTGGAACAGCCTTCCCCACAGCCCATGAGGTATCTTGAGTTATCTTAGGTGAAGGGCACTGGTTAAGATGATTTGTTCCTTGATATGATTCCATGCTCATCAAAAACCTTAATATAAATTGGCTTCCCATACACATATAGGAACAAACTGTGCTATCTCACTGATAAAGCATTCCAGACCTTACCATAATAAAGAATAATCACTGTATATTAACATGTTGGCATTCTAATTCATGTTTCAGTCTCTTTTTAATTTGGTTAATGTTTGTCTCCTTGAGTCTGATAACTCCAGATGAATTTGAAAGATGTTCTTTGTCATTTTGTATGTTTCATGTTAAGGCAACTTTGGATTTGTGATTGAGGCTGGGTTGATATCTGGTCTTACTACTTGGCAAGACCAATGTAAGTCCACTTTTAGTAATTTAATTATCCATGGTGTTTCAGTGTATTATGGCTGACTAGATTTTCTGAGTTTTTACTAGTTTTTAATTTTTGTTCTGTTGTATATTTTAAGAAATTGTTCTGTCCTGTTTCTTAAAATAATTGCAAATTCTCTTTGAACAAGAGAGACTAGACATACATAAGTGTTCATTCAAATGAGCAATGTTGATTACTTGAATTAAACTGAAAGTAGGAGTGGACTAGGAGATAGAAATATTTAGAAGACAGGGATTGACGGGTTTTAGTGATTAATTGTATTAGGGATTCAGAAAGAGAAAGGCATTTAAGATATTTTTAGTTGAGTAATTGCTCAGCTATATGAATTTGACTAAAGAATTGCCTTAATGCTTCATTAATAAAAGGGTTAAGTCTGAGTCAAGTGAAAGAGTAGGGCCTGTATTTGTACAAAAAATACAGTAAGAATATGTTTTGTATAGGTCAGATGGTTAGAGTTTGTGTTCAGTTCCATGTGGCCCCTATGGGGCTCCTTCAAGGTAGAGAGATAAGAAAGGGACTGGTAGGCTGGGCTTGACAACTGGGATACCTTCATGGGCCATAATGAGACATGACGTTGGGAAGGCCATCAGGAGCCAGCCCCTTCACACCAAGTTAGTGTTTTGCTGTTAAATATCAGGGTGGATATGGAGAGATGGAAATCTGTAAATTACAACACAGTAGAAAGCAGAGGACTAATGTCCACGAAGACTGTCAGGGCAGGGAGCTATAACTACCACCGTCCCTTGGGCCTAACTACAGCCTGGATAAGAGCACTTAAGAGTTCGAAACAGGGCCTGATTTTCCATTTGGTTTTTAAAAATATTTGTTTAAATTTTCTATTTTTCAACTGTTCTTATTAAAGTGTAGGTGTAGAGTATTCCTGTAAATACTATTTACATTATTCAGAGAGAAAGAAACATCTGAGACATATTTCTTAAAATTTTGATAGACGTAATGGAGCTTGAGGTTAGGTTTGTATTTACCTATGGAATGTGCTAGGTAGGAGATACTCATGAGAACTTGATAACAAATCTGGCTGTGGGGGTTACATGTGGACTTGTCTTCAGCTAAGGAAGTTGACCAGATCCATGTATTAAGCAAATATTTGTTTAGTAAGCACTGTGTGAGGTAAAGTTCTTTCTCAGTCCCATGATTCTACGTTATTAAATTTTAATACTGTGAAAGGTTTTTAATTCTATAACAAGTAAAGAATGTGAATAAATCCTTTGAAATACAAACAGTATTTATAGACTTGCAAGTGTTGGGTATATACTTGGTTGCTGAACAAAATAGCATAATCCGGTTATCTCTCAAGAATTGTTTAAAACAGTGTTTGCCAAACTTTTTTTATTGTGACCTGTTAATGGCATTTCGCATCATGATTCAGTGACAAGCATACTCAAATACATATATGCACACATATTTGAAAGAAAATTTATTGAAAATGTATCCTTGCTATTTGCTATGTATTCTAATTTTTCTGTTTCAGTTACCCAAAAATGTTAGTCTAGTCTTACTAAATTGCTTTGATAACACTAAGTGGTCCTGAATTCTGCAGTTTGAGAAATACTGGTTTAAAATACCTCTCTATTTGCTTTATATAATTGTTTGAAACAGTCTAAGGCTATGAGTATGTCTATTTGTAATTATATCTACTGCTTTTTGTTTGATCAACCATAGTTATTTTGTAGTTATTCTAAGACATTCCAGAAAAACTGGGATTTACTTTAGGACTTCATTCGTTCATTTCTCATGGAACAAGTATTTGAATAACTACATCAAATAATGTCCCACTATCTTCCTCCCTCTTTATAACTTAATTCAGTATAATTTTGATTAAAAAAGGCAATATGTCTTTAAGAGTTGCTTTTAACCTATTTCTGGTAGGATACACTATGAAAAATAACAGAGGTCAATAGCTTGGAGTACAAGTAACATTCTTGCCTTTTAGAGCAATATTACCTAATAATCTAAGTGAATATGTACTTAAAACTTCTCTATTGAAAAGAAACTCAGTATGATGTATTAATAACTGAAATATATTTGATTACTTTTAATAGTTATTTTCTATAAATTTAAGAATCAGAGACCATATGTCAATAAATATCTGTTTAACAAATCAATGAATAGAGAAGAGAAAGCTTAATTAGAGAAGAATACATTATTTAATGTGTTCATTGATTGACTTAACATATGGTTATTGACATCGAATATGTGAGGTCAGGAATGCTGCCATTTCTTATTCATTATTGTACCACTGATATCTAGCCTACTACCTGGCAAATGCTAGATGTTGCATTTGCTTCGCTTACAAGAAATAAAAACTTTGACCATTTTTTGGCCACAGATGCAGCAATATTATAAGGTTCAACACTAATAACATAAAGGAAGTTTTGGAGACACAAAATTCAGACATGATCTTTTCTCTCCTGGGTTTTACAGCTTCCCTCTGAGAAACAGTTTAGTGCATTTAACAGTATGGGTTTAAAAATCAGATTGGGTTCACCCAGGTACCTTCATTTCCAAGATGTATGATTCAGTTCACTGCCTTGTGTCCTCTGCAAAATGGATATAACAGTGACTCTGTTCATAGAACTGATGTGAAGGTTAGGTGAAATGCACACAAACATTCTACATGGTTCATGGGACCTAGCAGACAATCCATACCTCTTACTCTTTGTACTACTAGTACTACTGTAAGTTTAGTATATACCAAGCCCTGGCATGTAGTCTTTGCTTTCTATGAGTTGGCAACCTACTGAGGGAGAGAGAAAATAAAACAGAACAGTATGATGCTTCATGACTCTCTAGTCATAAGAGTATGAAAGCCCAGAGCAGGGACGTCGCACCCAGCATGACAGTTCAGGGAAGCTTCCCGGAGGAGGCCGTATCTGAACTGAAAGCTGAAGAACAAGTAGAGCTCAGTCAGGACTGGATGGGGATGGGAGAATGGTAGAAAGCAGGGATAGTGTTGAGAGGTGGGGGAAGCAGCAAAGCAGAGACCTGGGCATGAGGGAATGTGGTGGTGGGTGGTGGGTGGTGGGTGGTGGGAGGGGTCTGGAGGAGACCAAGTGGTATAGGGAGAAGCAGACTGAGGCTGGGCCTTGAAGGGAGGGTCCTGCTCAAGAGCCAGCAGTGTGGGCCTCAGGTTTGTGCATGAGAAAAATCATCTGGAAGTGGTAAGAATGGGTTGAGCTGGGTTAAGATGAGGAGGGGACCAGGGAAAAATCTGATGTGATAAATTATGGGGGAGATGACTGCTTGGGACAGAGCTGTGCCAGTGGAGGCAGAACCTTGGAAAAGCCCACATTTAAAGGACACAGAGGAACTGTCACTAGGTGAGGACTTAAAGTACAGTAAGATTTTAAACCATCTAAGTACAGTATAATTGTTAAGCCTGCAAAGGAAAGAATGGGGGATGGATGGGCAAGAAAGCAAAAAGCAACTCACACTTTTATTCCCGAATCCTTTTTATTTCCTGCACCGATCACAACATATTTTATTCTTTGGTATTTTGTGAGTAGTATTGCATTATCTTAGTTTATTTGTGACTAAAATACCCCCAGGTGTCTGACAAAATGTAATCCTGTTTCTCTCTGAGTCTTGGGATCTGGAAATCACTCAAAAACCTCAAAGCAAAACAACCCACAAAACTACATTGTATAGGGAAGGCTACTTTCATTCTTGACTTTCATAGCAACCAGGTTAATGAAGAGTTGCTGTGTATTTGGTGCCCTTGGAGGAGCTGGGTTGTAAGATGTTATACTGCTTCTGAAGGATGAGATAGAAGAAGGTCATCTATTCATTCAAGAAACACTTCTTGAATCTACCAACTAGGTATTAGGTCTAAAGCCATGGGCAAAACATCCCTACTATCTGGAAGCCTATGTTTAGAAAATGGAATTCTGTACTGTCTTCATGAAAAATGATAAAAATTTTTTCAAGCATTTTTTTGGCATAAGATGGTAGTATTGGAAAACAGAGCATAATGTATCTGTGTATGAGATATCTTTCTGCTTTGTTACCCATATTGAAAGAGAAAGTGTGAGGATTACATGAGGTAGAATGTGACTAATGTTTAAGACACAGTAAATGCTTAATTGATGTTAGCTGTAATATGTGATGATTTATTTTGCCAATCTTTCTTACTACTGTAATTGCTCTCTTATTTCTCTCTGAAATCCCATCGATGGGCTCTGTCTGTTACCCAGGCTCCTATCATTGTCTTGTCCTGTTTTCAGCAGCAGCCTCCTACCTGCTTTCTGCAGCTTTTCTCTCTTTACAATCTATTCTCCATTTGTAGTCAGAGTCGAATTTGTGCTCTTAAATGTTTCCTGTTGCTGCTGTAAGAACTTCCATGAGCTGAGTGGCTTAAAGCAACACAAATTATGTTACACTTCTGGAGGTCAGAGATCCAGAATCAGTTTTGCTGGCCTTAAATGTATTGGCAGTGCTACCTTCCTTCTGGGTGGCTCTAGGGATAGTCCTCCTACTTACCGCTTTCTGGATTCCAGAGGTCACTTGCATTCCTGAACTTGTGGTCCTGTATCACTGCAACCACTGCTTCTGTTATCACATCTCCTTTGACTCTTCTGTCTCTCTCTCTCTCTCTCACTTAGAAGGATTCCTGTGATTATTTTGGACCCACAGGTAGTGCAGGATGTTCTCTGCATCTCAAGATCCTTAACTTAGTCACATCTGCAAAGTTCTTTTGGCATGGCGAGGTTGCATACTCACAGGTTTTGGGAATTAGGAGATGGACATCTTTGTTGGGGGGATGTTACTCTGCCTACCACCATTCCCATCTTGTCATGAGACAGTGTCTAGTACAATGGGGGAGGTGAGTATTAACTTGTAAGTGTAAATGTCCTCTTCTGCATAAAGCTCTTCTATGACTTTTTATTACTTATAGGATTAAAGGCTGAAACTCCTAATATGGCCTGGGAACTGTCCATGGCCTGGCTCAGCCCAGTGCTGGCATGGGGCCTCAAGGCTTTTCATGGGCTTTTTTCCTTCCTGCTCATAGAATTCCACTCCATTTCTGCCCAGCCCCTCAGGACCATGCCATGTCTCTGCTTATACCAGTTTTCTCTCTCTCCCTTCCCTCCAGACACCTTTGGCTGTTTTCCTGCTACTCAGTGCTTGGATCCTAGAGCAAACTCTGCTTCCTTAGGGAGTACCATGGCGTTTACGCTGTTCTGCTGTTCTACCTGCCTGCAATCCTGGAGCGTGGGCTTCTCCTTCATAACACTTGATTGCAACTTGCCATTGTTTATTGGTGTTCTTATTTGTTTCATCTGTAAGCTCTGTGAAGGCAGTGGCTATTTCCACTGTATACTCAATGGTGATCATTTATTTAGTGTTCAATAAACATTTTTTAAGTGAATGGACTTAAAATCAAAAGACAGTGTGTCTGTAAAGTAGACCTTGGTTTTGTTCATCAGTGTAGTATTGTAGCCACAGGCAGAATGGAGTTTTGAGTTATGGGAAAGGTTTGCTCAGTAACAGAAGGCATAGGAGATAGTTTAATTACTGAGTAAAGCTACCCAGTGTCCTTCATTTTTTGATAAAGAGCTAATTTTGCCATTTGGTAATTTTTCAGACTCTTCTTCCATCTCCCTAAAAGCATGTTCAAGACTTTTAACTCTAGCATGAATATACAGGATCTCACAGGCTAAGAAATCTGTTAAATTTTAAAATGACCTTTATTGGGAGTTGATATGGGTCAGAGGCTATTTTCCTGGTTTAGGCCTGGTGGCCATGGAACAGTCTGCTGTGACATTAGCCTCTGTTAGCATTGGTGTTGAAGAGAAGTCTGCAAAACTTATTTAATGTAGTGGCTACTCCATGCTTTGAACTGTTTGCAGTGCATTATTTCAGTAGGTCTTTAAGAATGTTTTACAACTAAAAAACTGTTTTGTATCTGACAACATATTAATTCCTTTAATTTTATATTTTTATTAAACTATGAGGTTTTCAGGCCTGCTTTATAGTTATACAAGCATGATGATTATAGTTTTCCTATTTAAACTACAATATTTCACCCTGGTGTAGGCAAAGTTTGTTAGATCAGTTATTAAGCTTTGTCCACTTAGTGGACTTCTTGAAGGAGACAGAACCTTTGGAATTAAAAAATGCTTCAATTTGCTCCTGTTGAAGAGAAAATTATTTGGAAAAAATAAGTTTAAAAACCTATTCTTGTTGCATTAATTTCTCAATCTGCTGATAGTCTATAGTTATTCAAATTGAAGTGAAGTCAAATCTTTACCTGATCTACATATATTTCACACAGTACTAACTTCATACTATATACTTTGATGTCTTTATGTTTCTATCTTGAGTGTGAAATATTCACTAATTTTTATCAACCTCTTTACTAGACCTGATAAAATGCATAAAATTCACATAGTTAACTTTCAGCTTTTAATCTCCCTACAAAGATAAACTAGTAGCAGTTTTTTGTTTGGGCTACTTTCTCAGAGTCAATTTATATGAAATGTGTACATACTTTGCTTTTAGAGCATTTTGGATAAAGGACATCATTGTGGCAGTAACTGGAGAGAACATGGAAACAATGAAGGCTATTATTCAGAGGTATCAGCACAAACGCGTCTCGCTGGTGGAAGCTGGAGTGACCCGCCACAGGTCAATTTTCAGTGGACTGAAAGCACTGGCAGAAGATCAGCCTGACTCTAAGCTCTCTAAGCCAGAAGTAGTGATTATTCACGATGCTGTGAGACCATTTGTTGAGGAAGACATTCTCCTTAAAGTCGCCACAGCTGCTAAGGAACATGGGGTAAGTATTTATACTTCTGAAAATGGGTAAAAGGGATAAATACCACAGTAAATACCCTATTTACTAATTTAACAGAGCTATATTTAAATGTCAAGGTATTTAAAATGGGCATGATGACCTAGACATTATGCTAATTTGTTTTAGGAAGTTTATAGTATATAGATTGTGAGAGTATTCTGGAATTTCTTTTGCTATGGTCACTTACAATGAATTATGAGCTATCGAAGAATGCAATAATGTCACTAGAGTATGGATATGAATGGACTTAAAAGGAATGAAATTAAATATGCAGTTATCTAAAAATGCCTAATACCTAATATATGTAATTAACAAAATTCCAGTTCTTTGCACTCAAATTTTGTGTTGTGATTTTTCAGAAGTGGTTGTTTTTCCAGCACAATCAACCAACCAGGCACAATGTCATACCCCTTAAAGTGAATCATCTTAAGATAACAGAATGCTGTGTGTTATTTCACCAAAATAAACATACACTAGCAAAAGACCCATTGTAATCTCCAGATCATCTTTGTTTTTTCCTAATCTTATGCAAAACGTACAAATAAGGTAATAGATGTTAAACTTAATTCTGCAGTCTAAATTTGGGACAGTGATAAAAAAATTTTATTGCACAGACTTGGTTTAGTATAACAGTCTGTGGAGTCTGTCCGACTTGGGTCCAATTCCCAGTTTTTATTTGTGGTGTAGTGTGTATTGAACTTTATCAACCTCTATGTGCCCATTTTCCTTACTTGTAAAAATATAGTTGCTAATACTTGTATGATTGCTTTTAGAATTAGAAATTATATATGGAACTACTTAGTAGGGTACTAAGTACTTAAAAATGGTCTCCTTTTCTTTCTGTTTTGATTTTTATATTATATTTTATATAATATACAATAATATATTGTAATATCTCTTTGTTTCTCAGATTTTATACATTATAGCTGATAGTAATTCTTGATCTTTTGCTCTTTCACTTTTTCACTCATGATGACTTGTTTGTTCCTTTGTTTTGTGATTTGCATTGTGAGCCCACGTGTGGCAAGGTTATCAGCACGGCCACTCTGGTCATGGGTTGAGGGTTTGTTTCTGAAATACACATGTGTTGCCTTTGTAGGGGTTCCAGCAGCTTTACCAACTTGGAAGCACTTTGTTTTAGTTCACAGCTTGAGGATTTGTAGATCCTGTGGTAATATAATACTAAACCAAACTCCAAACCTACATAAAACCTACACGGTGATGGTTTGTCAGGGACAACGCCCTGTCTGCCTCAGATCCCAGGCCAGGACAGTTTTGCTTATTGTCATCCCTGACTTGTGAGTGCACTTTTTTTGGGCTGCCCTTTGACAGCACAGGCTCAGGATCTAATTCCTCATTTCTTCTCATTTATTAAAACCTTAAGTATCTTGTCAAGACACAGCATCTGTATCCTACATCTGTGGTCCCTGGCTATGATAGTGTGTGTTAGTTAGTCCTGTGGCATTTTGTTGTGAGTCAAACTTTTCAAAAAACACTTTTAAGAGCCATGCTTGTAGAAAGCTGTTGGTAAAACTTTCTCCTGTATTTGATTTTTTTTTATGCAAGAGGTTTTCCAAGATAACTAGTCTGCTATATTGCCAAAAATAGAAGTCTTTCACTAAATATAAAGTACTTGTATATTTTTACATAACTATAAATCGAGATGAAAAAGTAGTAACAACGACATTCCTATAAGGGAAATGTTGGAAAGGGTATAAGAAGTTGAAACAGTGAAAAACAAAAAATATGGGGAGAATCATTTTTAAAAGGACTAACAGGTTGTATGTAGGCTGTCTTTTTCATATACTAGAACTGCTAGTCATAGCATAAATTGAAATTGAGATGCATCAGCAAAGCAACCTACTGAAAATTTGCTCCTGAGGGAAGACGTTTACTTAGTTATTTGCATATCTTTCTTTCTTCAGCCCTCCTCTGTTCTGTGTCTCTCTCTAATCATGTTGTCTTCTCCTCCGCATCAGCTCCTTAAAGTAACAGGTAACACTGCTTCTGCTTTTTCACCTCTAATTTTCTCCTCAATGCACAGCAATCTGGCTTTTTTTCCCTCCTGTGTGATTACTCCGTTCCAGATCACCTGTAACTTTCCAATTCCCAAATTAGATGTGCTCTTTTAGTTTGTAGACTAAGCAATTTGACTGACTTTTGTCCCTGGTTCTTTGCAGGAAGCTTCTAAATCCTTGGGATTTCCTAAGTGATAGGGTTTTCAGTGGTTTCCCAGTAATTGGTGGTTGTTTATTTATGAGTCCTGGGATCTCTCCTGAGTTTATGCTAATAAGATGAGATGACTCAGGATGGGGGGGTGATCACCAAAAAGACCACTGGTGATTAGCAGTTTGGGGTTTTGAAGAGCCCAACTTCTGGGGAGCAAATGGAGCTGGAGGTTGAGTTCAATCACATGGTCAATGATTCAGTTAATCATGCTTACAAAATGAGATCCTCATAATAAACCCTGGCACTGAAGGTCAGGGAGCTACCTGGTTGGTGAGCAGGGATATGCTGATTCCATGGGGAGAGGGTCCACAGAAACTGTGTCCTAGACTCTCCCAGACCTCGCCCTTTGTGTCTCTTTATTTAGCTCATTTATTTATATCCTTTTTCACAAAACCATAGTCATCATTGCCCTGAATTCTGTGAGTTCTTCTAGTGAATTAGTAAACTGGAATGGAGGTTGTGTGAACCTCTTGGATTTGCAATCAGTTGGTCAGAAGTATAGGTGGCTTGGGGATCCCACTTCTGTCTGGTGTCTGAAGTAAGGGCAATATGGTTGGGAGCTGCAGGGTTTGTGCTAACTGAAGGTGGCTGACAGAATCGTGTCGTACAGAGTATGCCAGTGTGTGCAGAGGATGTCTGTGCTGAGTTTGAAAGTATTAACCAACTCTTCCTTTTGAAACTCCCTCCCTACCTTGGCCTCTGTGACTCTACACTTGCTTTCTTCTTATTTATTTGATACTCCCTTTTCAGATGCTTCTTTCTGTTTTTAAAATATGGTTCCTTTAACCTCTTTTATCACTGAGCACAGTATTTCTGAGCAGTCTAAATCATGCCTACATTAGGTAAGTTTTAAATTTATATACAGTAAAATTCACTTTTGAGGGGTATGCCGACTGAGCATTTATACCTCCATAGAATCTGTAATCACCACAGATAGGATACACAACTATTCTAACACTCCAAAGAATCCCTTCCTGCTATCCCTTAGTATCAGACCCTTTCTCCTCTCCTATCTCCTGCCAACCACTTACATGTTCTCTATTAATATATTTTTTTCTTTTCTAGAATGCTATCTACATGGAATCATGAACATGTAACTTTGAGACTATTTTACATGTTCTAGTATATTGGCATGCACCTATTTTATCTTCCACATGTTATCTTACAAATATCTCTCAAGCTCCAATTTCTCTCTTCTGAAATGCTCTATTTTATGTTCAACTTCCAACTCAGATCACTCCAATTTGCCTTTTTCAGTGTTTCTGGAATCATTTAGCTCTGAATTCATTAGTCCTCCCTATTCACTTTACTTAAGTCCTACCCTGTAGAAACATTGCTATTTATTTAAGTCTTAGGCCTAAACAAATGATTTTATATATTAGAAAGCAATGAGTTCCACTTATTTAGTGGGAAATCTTAGGTTTATTTTGACAAAGGTTTAAATTCCCTGTACAGGCACTAAATTACTTCGACTTCCATAGAATGAGCTGAAATTTGACCTTTGATACTGGGGAAGGTACTGTGAAAGCTTTTGTTTTGCTTAATTATATAAAACTGCCTACCTTTGTATATCCATTCTATGATTTATCTTCAAATGAAGTTGAAGAAGGGGTAGATGAAGGAAAGAGGAATGTATCTAGGGACTAAAATGAAGTGAAGTTGATTACATATGCAAGTATATTTCTCATCATAATAAATGTAAGGTAAATGGTATTCCTTTAATTCCCAGGAATTAAAGTTTATGTAAAATGGGAGCCTTCTTATGCCTTTTTGCTCCATATCCACATTTAACATTTAAGGGTGCTTTGTAGTGATAGTTATTTTAGAAGAATCTCTCTGTGTTACTTTATTTTATACATTGAGTAAATTAATAGGGTACTTTCCATCTCCTTATATATTAAGAAACTATTAAAAACATGAAATATTCAAAATCTCATAATTGCCAATGATTAACTTTGAAGATGCGATTCTGCAGACATTTATTAGGCAACCCAGCCAACTAAAATCATAATTACACAGTCAGAGGAATTCTGTTGTACATTGTCCTAATCAGCTTGAATGCAGATGTCTGAGCAGGAATGCACGTTAGCACCTGCTTTGATGGATGATAAGTATTGTTCAATTTTGCTTTTAAAAGTAAACAGTAGAGGTGGGGTTCATTATTCCACATCAGATGATTTGTATCTGTGATGATTTCCATGCATTGACATATGCAAATACTTTGATACCACATTAGCCTAAGAGGCAAGTAAGCACTGTGGTGCTGAGCTGTTAAATTTCCATTCTGGGTTTATGAGACTAATTCCCAAAGAGACAATGTATTTGATGACTTCAGAATCATGCTTCATATTACAAACATCTATGGTCGCTGTGATTTTTGTCCAGTACTTGTGTCATGATACTGATGGTTTGAATTTCAGAAGGGCTCATATAGTTGAAGATTTTATTCAATGCTAATTTCTGAACAAACATGGCTTACCCTGGAAACTACTGTGGGGAGAACATGTCTATTTGCATTAGTATCTTTCTTCTATATGTGTTTATATCATTTAGCTGAGAGAGTGCTAGTCAGTGAAAAAGTGTCAGCAAAGGAGTTATGCTTACTTGTGACGCTTTCCATGGGCCCTTTGTTTAGGAAGACCCTGGAAGCTGACAGTCAACTTGTGCTTTCAGTTGTCTTCATGTTGTACTGCTTTCCAACTGATCTTTTTGAAGCTATTGTAAATTATATCTTTATTTTGGGTTGTTCACTGTTACTACATAGAAATACAATCTTATCCCCTCTGCTCTTGTTGAACCTATTAGTTCTGCTAGTTTTTTTAGTGGATTCATTAGATTTTCTATGTACAAGATCATATCTGCAAATACATAATTTTACTTTTTGTGGATGCCTTTTAATAGATTTTTCTTGCCTAGTTACCCTGCCTGGAGCTTCCTGCACCGTGTTTGTATACCTGGTAACAACAGTGGACATGCTTGTTTGTTCCTGATGTTAAGGGAAAAACATTCTTTTGCCATTAAATATTACATCAGTTGTGGGTTTTTCATAGATGCTGTTTATCACATTGGGAAAGTTCCTATTCTGTTTCCAATTTGGGTGCTTTTTTCAGGAAGAAGTGTTGGATTTTGTCAAATGCTTCTTCTGCATCTATTGAGATGTTAACATGTGTGTCCTTTATTAGTATGGCATATTACATTAATTTGTGTGTGTGTGTGTGCATGCGCTGAACCAATTGTGCCATTCCTGGGATAAATCCCAGATAGTTATGGTGTAAGAAATATCATGATACTTCTTACATGTTGCCTAATTTGGTCTGCTAATATTTTTTTAAAAGATTTTTGCATCAATATTCTTCAGGATTTTGGTCTGTAATTTTAATTTTCTGTTATGTCTTAGTCTGGTTTTCATAAACTGGTCTTACAGAATGAATTGGGAAGTGTTCCCTCCTATTTTTTTGGAATATAATGCGAGGAATTGGTATTTTAAAAAATATTTTTTGGTATAGTAAACGAGTGAAGCCATTTGGGCCTGGGCTTTCTTTCTGGGAAATAAAAACATTTTTAATTCAACTTCCTTACTTGTTCAAGGTCTACTGAAATTTTCTATTGAGTCAGTTTTGGTAGTTTGTGTCTTCCTAGGAAATTGTAATTTCATCTTTCATCTAATTTGTTGAGATATACTTGTTCTTAATACGCCCTTATATTCCCCATTTCTGTAAGATTGGTAGAAATCTCACCACTTACATGATTTTACTAAGTCGTTGTTTTTCTTAGTCTACTTTAAAGGCTTGTCAATTCTGTTTATCTTCTCAAAGAACCAAATCTTGGTTTTGCTTTTCTCAATTTTTTATCTTCTACTTCATTTATTTCTGCTCTAATCTTTATTTACTTCCTATGTCTGCTTTAGTTTTACTTCTTTCTTTATCCTGTTTCTTAAAGTGGAAGGCTAGGTTTTTGATGTAAGAATGTCTTTTTCTATATGTTAATTATAAAGCATTATTTTCTTTTCAAGAATTTTTTCCTTACCTTTTACATTTTTACTATGATGTGTCTGGAAGTAAATTTCCTTGGGTTTATTTTACTTGACATTCATTGAGCTCCTTGAATGTGCAAATTAATGTTTTTCCTTGACTTTGGGAAACATTCAGTCATCATTTCTCTGAATATTTTTTCTTCTCCTTTCTCTGTCTCCTACTGGTACTCCTATTAAAAAATGTTGGTGTGCTTAACGGTGTCCTGCATTTCTTGGACTATTCATTTTCCTTTCTGCTTTGTATTGCATAATATCTATTGAGTTAACTTTATATTTGAACTAGAGAATAAAAAAAATTATTGTTCAGCCCCATTGGTGAATTGTTATATAATTATTAAACTTTCAACAGTAGAATTTGTATTGAGTTTTTAAAAATCTGTCCTAATATCAATAATATAGATACTGTCATCATACTTTACTTAAGCATGACTTCCTGTAGTTTTTTTAAACATATTTATAATATCTGATTTGAAATCTTTGGTAAGTATGGTATCTGGGCCCCCTCACAGGCAGTTTCTGCTGCCTGCTTTCCCTTTCCTTTTTTCTCCTTTGTGTACATCACACTTTCTGGGATGCATGTCTTCCAGTTTTTTTTGTTGAACACTGAATATTTTGGCTATCTTTTATCAGTTCCAGATATTGATTCTCTCCCTCCTACTTCCCCGGGGCTTACTGTTGTTTGCTTGTTTATTTGTTTGTGACTTCACTGGTTTATTTTCGTGAAGTCTTGTTCCTCTACAGGGCGAAGCCTCTGAAGTCACTTGGTAGAGGGAGCAATTCAGAGGGTATGTACACTCACCCTGGTATGACAGTGATTTTAGCAGGTGATTTTCTCTCTTACTGTCTCTGTCCACGATCTCTCTGTTGCACTGTTTTTTGCTTTCACACCCTGCTGTTAAGTTCCATTCATTGCCTGCTAGTTGCTGTCTTTTTTTTGCCATGCCACTAGCTTGGAGCTGTGGATGGGCATCATGCTGAGCAATGCAGAGGCAGAACTTGCTCTGCAATCTGATCCAGTTAAATTCTAGCCTCTTTGCAGAGGTAGTTTTTGAGGCCAGTATTTGAAGTTATAGGGGGCTGTCTCTTTCTGTAGCTTTCTCTCGTAAACTAGTTTGCCCACAGTTTAGCTTTTTGCTTTCATGTAGCTATCACCCTTCTCTTGATGATCTCCATTTCTTCTGAGAGTGCACTTAGGCTTAAACTTCTCACATTCTTTTATAAATAAAGTGAGTCTCTGTAGGGGGAGTTTCATAACTTTCTATTCTTACAGCCTATCTTTCTTGTGAAAAATCACCATGCCACTAGTTTGGAGCTGTGGATGGGAATCATGCTGAGTGACCCCCTGTTTCAGGAGCAGGGTGATGCATGGAGACATTGGAAGACTGTAGTCTTCTCTTTCTGCATGTCCTGTCAAGGGACCAGTGATCTGTGTGTGATCTGGGACAAGGGTAATCAGAGCCCCAGTGTTCTTTGCCTACCATGCCAGGGGCAGATCCTCCACTTGATGGAGACCATATGAGGAAGGATGTCTCCAACTTCTTGGCAATGCTGGCCCGTAATTTAGCCTCTGTGACATGGAGCTGAGTGGGATGGGAAATACAAGTACTTGTTTCCTCCCATGGGAGCTGGTGGAGAGGGTGCTGCATCTTTTCAGCCATGCCAAGTCACACTTGAGCTGAGTGGATGATGAAGGAAGAAACAGATCGTGACTCAAGTGGCATAGGCTCTCTCTGTTCTTTCCAATATTTAATAGATTTTCTTGAATAAATCTTCCTTAATCTGAATGTGCTTAGGACAATTTTTAAAGGCTTTTTAATGGCTTTTAAAATTTCACTAGTTTTGCTGGGGAACCTGTAGAGAATCTCAAGTTCACATTTTGTATGTCTCATGTTCTCTTTTAAATGTTTTTACTTCATGGCCTGAAATAGAACTCTAATACTACCTATAAGTAGTTACATTGGAAATTTTTGTCTTCAAAATCAGTATGTGTATACATGCACATATTTTCTTCCCTGTCTTATCTTGTAACCCTTACTGATAAGTGTTGGTCTGGACCAGTTGGACTTGCAAGTTACCTACCTTTCACCTACTTGGACATCACTGTCTCCCTGTCAACGCTGGCTGTCTCCTCATGTTTGCTTTATGCCTAGCTCCATATTTCTACTCAAGTCACTGGAAATGGTGACACAGTTTGTAAACAGTCTACTTGGCTTACATTTGGCTTTGATTTTCAGCCAATCTCTTGCCTTTGTAAACTAGTTTATGGACTGTCTGTCTGGCTCAGATGTTGATATCCTCAAGACCACATTTGTTGGCTTCTTGTGCTGCAATACTCATGTATCAATTATGCGGAAAATAAGATGTTTTGGAGTCAGTGTAAGGTTTGGTTAATTCCCTACCACAGGAATCATATTTTTAGGCAATTTCACCAGGCCGGTTGTCTAGCAATGACCTTCAAGACTATATTACAATGAGACTATTAAAGATAAAGGAAAAATGATCAGATATGAAGGTGTCTTTTCATAAAGTTTAGATGCATCTATTCATGAGACAAAAGTTTCCTCAGAGTGATTGAAATCAGTGGATATTTTGCCTGAGGGAGTATTGCATTGAGGCTGTGTTTGAAGGGAACTGTTGTTCACAGGAATTGGAGCAAGACATAAACTCGTTACTTGGGTTGAGTATCATTTTGGGGACCTTGAGGGAATATTTCTGTTTTATTAATTATGTAATGTGTAAATTAAATCTTTTGAAGGCACACTAAGTAGTAAATATTCATGTACAATCCATTTCAGTTGTTTCAGAACAGTCTTTCTCTTCCTCCCCTCTTCAGGGAATACCCAATTGTATCTTAGTATCCTATTTTTAGTATTAGACTTCAGTGACCTGTGATGAGAAGGATTTTGACCATAACAAAAACAAATTATTTTTACTTATCATGGATCTGTACCATTATACCATTGGGTTTTACATGAAATAATCATTTATTATATTAGCCAAATTGACACTTGTTCAAATATTTTCTAGATGTAGCTTCTTGAAGGTATGAACTAAATTTGCTTTCACAAATGAGTTTAGAATTTCACTCAAAATATACTCAGAGTGAAACAACTGTGTTATTTGCATGTTTTTTTGTTCTTTAGGCAGCAGGAGCAATTCGACCCCTCGTGTCTACTGTAATCAGTCCTTCCACTGATGGTTGTTTAGACCACTCACTAGATCGTGCCAGACACAGAGCAAGTGAGATGCCACAGGCTTTTCTATTTGATGTGATTTATGATGCGTACCAGCAGGTAAGAGTCCTGAACTGCAAATGCCATTCTGGTAGGGGTCCCCATGACCAACCACCCTTATATTTGGAGATGTGTTAGGAGAACTTGTGGGACTCAGCATATAGTTGTATTCCTGGCCCAAACTGACTACAGTAAAGTAGTGAGGATACACAGCTGGGTCGTGAGAAGAGACACAGGCAGAGTTGGAGAAATTCACGTGCCTTCTTCCTTATGCTCTCCTCTCCTGAAGGGTCACACAAAGCACACTTTCCTCCCAGCAACATATGTGTGATGTTTCTCCCCAGGGAAACCCACTAGAGACTTGGTGTCCAAGGTGTTTATTGAAGTTGGTCACATAGACAACATAGACATCCTCTGCTTGGAACAGAAGAATTCCAGATTCCCAAAAGGAAAGCAGGTGTTTAACATAGACCATATTGTTTATGCAAACAGTCTGGGCATGGTAACCACCCTTATCAGTTAAGTGTTCACTGGGACTACTCCAAGAGACAATTTCCCAGGTAATCATTGACTACTCACCTGGTAAATAGAACTTTTAACGACAGCAGCCTCCGACCTTCTCTGATAAATTTTCTACACAGCTGCATAGGCATTTTAATTACAGTGTTAAAGGTAAATAACTAAAAATATCAAATCAAACATGTTTAGATTATACTAGATTACCTTTTTGTTCATGTTTTAGACATATTTTGTACATACATAAATTTTGCTATTCATTATACATTTATTCATTAAACAGTTATTGAATATCAGGTATTATGCTTGTCAAAAACTTCTTGATGAAATATAGGGTAGACTAATCCAGTACTTTGTTCATGTTAGACAATCAGTAAATAGTTGGAAATAAATGGACTTTTAGGAATATGGGATAATAGTAATATAAATATTGACACTTACATTAGAATACCACTTATTTTGGATAGAAGGTAGTTAATCAAGGTATGAATCGGTTTTGATCAGTTGCTGTTTTAAAGTGAGCTTATATAAATTAGAATGATTTTAATTATATGAATAGTCTGCCATGGTTGGTATTGTTTTCTGTACTCTAAATTCATTATTTTAAGAAATTTATCATTGGGTAAATTGCCTACCACAGGAATCATATTTTTAGGCAATTTGATCATTAATCATAAGTGTTATGCAATTGCAAATCTATTTTTTATTCACACATTCTGCTTTATAGTCTAATTTTGCTGACCTAGACCACATATGCCATATTTTCCAAATATAAATCTGTGCATCCCTATATGAACATTTATATTAGGACAAATAAATATGATAGCATAATTGAGTATAATCTCATGATCCTCACATTAGTGTACCATTTTTCAATAGTTTTTGCTGGAGAATTAAGGCCTAAAGCACTGAGGAACTGGTTCTCAAAGTATGGTCCCCAGCTCAGTTAGCATCAGAATGCTTTGGAACTTACTAAAATGCAAGTTCTGGGGTTCTACCTCAGACCTACTTGATTAGAAATTTTGGGAATGGAACTCAGCAATTTGTATTTTAACAGGACTGCCAGGGGATTCTAATTCACACTGAAGTTTGGGAACCACCCACCCTAATGCATTCATTGGTTGTAATGAACTATATTCTCTTCTATTGCATACTTGGAAGAATTGAGGAAATAGTCACCCAAAAATCTGTGTTCTGTAATTCAGATGAGGAATTCTCATAGCACATTATGGAGGTTTTGATAGACTTTTTACAAAAATAGTTTTTGATCATAAAGGTACACAAGGGAATTTGACTATATAAAATACTTTGTTCTCTGGTTTATGTAATTAGAGTATATACATGTTTTGGTTTTAACAAACTACTAAGAAAAAAAGGATGCTAAAATGTTTCTGTGGAGAAAGCTAAGTTAAAAGAGAGAGCCATGGGTGAAGGTAAAACAAATATATCTGACCTTACCAAAAACTGGTCTGACTGCCCTAATTAAATATGCTAACAAAAGAAAACTATAGTTTTAAGTCATATAACTACCAGTGGCCATTTCTTTACAGTTTACAAAATAGATTAAAGATTAACATTTTGAACCATTCTTCATCTTGGGAAAACTTACCTATCATCCAGGAGTTTGATCAGCA